TCTTCCTTCTCATTCATGAAGACGGGGAAATGCTGGTCTTTGCCCTGCTTTATAGAGTTTGACCTGGTGGTAATGGTCCTCACTTTGCTGAACTTGGCTATTCTGCCGTGTTCCAGACACTCTTGCAGCTCCAGCTTATCATTCACAGTGGATGCCAATGGCCTGTTCATGCCAGGAAGGTTACCCCAGAAGTAATGGGCCCTGTGTGCAGCAGACACTTCTTTGGCGTCAATCATCACGGGGTTGGACTCAAGAAATCGTGAGATGTCCCTCTTGTCGCTCACGCCCATGGCCACCACGTTCTCAAAGAGCCAGAAGAAGGGGCGGTCATCTCCCTCTTTGGGCCGCGCATCATGGAGGAGGCGGTAGAACTCAAAGAAGAGCCGGCCAGTACCCTCGTAAAGTCCCTTCCGGGCAGGGTTGACGATGGAGAGGTCATTGCAGGGACTGCCCCCAATCACCAGATCGAATGGGCCCCACTCCTGGATATGCTTCTGTGTGACGCTGCGGACGTCCCCGACGTACATGATCTTTCCTTGGTGCCGCACCATGCCCACAGTGATGGAGTCCTCACACACCTCTGAAGCAATGTAGCCGTCCACTTGGATGCCCAGGTCCTTTAGCACCAGGAGCCCTGTAGCAATTCCATCAAAGAGAGATAGCACCCGGATAGGCTTCCTCTTCTCAGCCGGAACAGGTGGGTAAACCTTTGGGGGGTCAAATTCCTGGTCATGGTTATTGGCAAAGAACATCTGGAGCCTGGAAGGCCAGTCTTCCCGTCTCCGCAGCAGTCCATAGGTGCCCTTGTGCCCACACATATAGCAGTTCCAGGGGTCTTCCTTAATGGCTGCCTGGGCAGCTCCTGGCCCCACCAGGAGATCCACACACTCGCACACAAAAGCACCTGCAGCAGTTATTGTTCCCACAGATGAGCACTTCACGCCCCCCACAGCAGATGGTGCAGTACGATTGGTACCCATCATCGTCATACTGGTAGGCGCACTCCAAGAAGCAGTTCTTACAGTTCTGGCACATTCCACCAATGAAGAGTGGGTGCTCCAGGGTGACATTGAGGCTTCCACATGAGATACAAATGTCCTCGATGTTCCGACACTTCTGCCGCACCTCATATACCAGCCGCTCTCTTGTGCGCTCGTCAATGATCTCCTTGACCTTAGGCTTTTCTGCTGTGCTCTTTCTGGGTTTCTTGGCTGGTGGGGGAGGGGCATACGCAGCCGCCTCGGGCTCAACCCACATGTCCGTGTAGACCTCCTTGTATGGATTCTTCTCCTCTTCCGGTGGCTCTAGGCCCTTGGGACCAGAGGGCTGGAAGCCCCCGAGGGCCCATTCGATCATCTGCTTGTTCTGCACCTCCACAGCCTTCCCGGTGTCACTTTCGTCACTGTCGTGGCAGGCCGGAAACAGCTTCCCAGCACGGCTGCTGGCCACCTGGAGGACTTCGTAGATGGCTTTGCGGTACATGGGCTGCTTGTTGTAGGTGGCCTGGTGGAAGGCGCTGCAGAAGGAGCTCAGGGGCATGAGCTTCTCGACGCACACCACCGAGAACTTGCCATCTCCGAACCACATGACCCAGCGAGTGCCTTCAGTGGCCCGGCTCCGTCCTGTCATCCACCAAGACACGATCCGGCCTGGCCACCAGGAGAAGCCCCGGAGTTTCCCCCACACCAGCTCTCCAATGCCAAAGCCACGGCCGTCCTCATACTCAGGCTCATCGTTGGCTGCTTTGGTGGCATTCTTGTCCCCAGCATCAGCCCCCGCTGGCTCAGGGGTGGTGGCCACAGTAGGGGACGCAGGGTCGGTGGGCTGCTGCACAGCAGGAGGGCTAGCCTCCTCTACCTTCTGAGGCTCTCCAGAGGCCTGGTTTTCTTCCACAGCATTCATTACTGCAATGACCTTGGCTTTCTTCTCAGCCCATAAGGCCAGGTGCAGCCCCTCTGCGGTCCGGCTCAGGTCGGGCATTTTCTTTATTAGTAATGAATGGAGGAGGACACAGCTCATTGTGGGTGGCATAATTTCTTAGCTGGTGGTACTGAGTTCTGTAAGAAAGCAGGCTGACTGAGTCATGAGGAGCGAGCCAGGAGGGAGCCACCCCCATCCCTACACCATGGCCTCTGCAATAGCTCTTGCCTCCAGGTCCCTGCCTCGTTTGGGTTCCTGCCTTGACTTCACTTAGTGGACTATGATTCAGGATATGTAAACCAAACAAACTCTTTCCTCCCCAACCTTTTTTTGGTCATGGTGTTTTATAGGAGCAATAGTAACCATAATTAAGACACTGTGTCATTAGGTCATTAGGCCCTAATGCCATTGGGTCACTTCAGAAATAATTACAAGGAGGCAATAGATCAGATTTATCTTGATTTCTGGCCCAGCAATCATCCTATACTGTGTTGTCTTGATATTATTTCAAGTGGACCGATTAGAAGCTATGGTCCTGGGACATTAAACCCTGAGACCCACAGCTGCTAATGACCAGATCAGCATCTTCTGGGTCTGGTTAGTGTCCAGTGAGGAATTATTTACATATTAGAGTTCAAGGTTTTGCTTCATTTCACAGAAGCAAGATAAGGTCTGGCTGACTGATGCCATTTGACACGGAGAACCATATTTCTGTGCCCTGTCTTCTTGCTCCTGAATTCCAGTCATGCTGACCTTGACAAGGATCGTGACCACGTTGCCACCCACTGCACTAGTCCTGCTCCCCTGGCCATGAACTTCCTTTCAGTTTGTCCCAAACATTTGCAAGTGGTTTCTCTGCCTCAAGTGGTCCTCTTTGCAGCAACCTCTTTGTTTTAATGGACACAAACAATCCCAGGACTCAGAATGGCTGGATGAGAACAAACACCTGTAAGAGCTGGCCTACAGGTGAGCGTTGCTAAGTTGTTTAAAGATCCAGGATCAGGGAGCTTGAGATCTCACAGTGCTAGGAAGAGGCACATCACAGTTAGCAAGGTGAACTCAAGAGCACTTTACACAGAGAAGGCAGGTCAGCCAAGCACATAGGACTGTGAATCCATGAGTGCAGAGTTCCTGGACCTTGGATCCAACTATGAGGGGAGACCTGTAGGAAGCATGTGGCAAGCCTTTGAGAGACTCTGAACTTCATCTTCCATCCCTGAATCTCGGGACAAGCCACAATTGGAACGACTTTTTCACTTGTGCAGGTTAGTATGTGGGACCTTCACTATGCAATTACTGGAAATCCATTGGAAGGAACTGAGAGATGCTGAACATACATGAGAGATGCTGAACACCCACGAGAGAAGCTGAACACATGTGAGAGATGCTGAACACATGTAGGAGATGCTGAACATAAATGAAAGATTCTGAACACCCATGAGAGAAGCTGAACACATGAAGATGCTGTGTTCACTTCCATCTGCACACTGGCTTTGCTGATTTACTCAGGACCTTCCAGAGCCCCTTTGGGCAATGAGAAAAATATGACAAATGTTTCTGCTTCTTGGACCCTTTCCCAACATTCTGAGTTCTACATCTTCATAAATTAACAAATGAGCTGGCCAAAGTCCACACACAAGCAGTGTTGACGTATAACTGATGTATAACTGATAAGTAGACCCAAGTGGGCCTCTGCTAGCCAACAACTGCCAGGCCCATCTTCAAAGCCTTTTCTTATTTTTGAAGTTCTTATTTTGCATGAAAGATTTTCTCCCAGTCACCATCTACGTGTTTGGAAACACTTTCTAATTAGTTTCACAAAGTTGTTTTTAACTTGACAAGCTAAGTTAGGCTCTAGAGCAAGAGCAGCAGAGGGAGGGAGGTTCTCTGTGATAGGCAAGGGAGCTCTTCCAATGGCAGATAATAGCTTGCTTTAGGACAAATTATTTGCTATACTTCTTTGTGTATATGCTTTCATTGTGTGTGTGTGTGGGGGGGGTGGATGTGTGGGTGTGTGTGCCCACAAGTGCATGTGTGTGCATGTGCATATGTGCTTTCTCATGTGTGCACCTGTGCATGAATGTGTGCACACATCAAAGTCTTGGTCTTGACTAATATACTAGTAATCACTGGCACCCAAACATTGCTTAGCCATTTTCAAGTTCAGGGATCCTTAGACCTCAGGATGTGCTTGGGATTCAGCTTCCTCATTGTGTCCCCTGATTCCTTCTCTTCAACTGCACCCCAGCTTTGGTCGCCACAGGCATCCTGTATCACCCATTCCAGCTGGGCCAGTAAGTCTTGGCGTCTAAGAAAGAAATCGCTGTGTACAGTCACTCCTTCTCTCTCAGTGGCTTCATCGTGCTCTTCCTCTTAGGGGCACAGGAGATAAAAATGTTTCTGTGGATGCATTTAGTGATTAGCTTTTATGCTCTGAAAATATCAAGGGGTATGGAAGCTCCAAAGAGAGAATAATCCAGTGTGTAGCCTCCAAATCAGAGGCATTCTGAGGGTGTTTCCTCCCTACTATGTGGAAGTACATGAGGAGTTTCCCCGAGGAGGAGTGAGTGTTGGATGCAGTCTTTGTTGTAGATTTAGTGCCATATCCACCTTTTCCTCACATGTGATGCTCCCAATCTACATGCAAGATGCAGTACCACCTCAGATTCCTATAGGCTTCAGCATAATGCAAACTTCTTTCCCTAAAGTCCTCCTCTCTGTGCACTTCCCCTTTCTCCATATTCTAATGTTGTTTTATACAATCCTTCCTTGCTAGTCTGATCTACAAGAGCCAGTTATAATGTTAGCTCTCAGCAGAGGATCAAATACGTACATGGTAGTGTCTGTACTTAGCTATACATTTAAAAGTGCACTATTGCTTATACAAGCTAGCATTGCAGCAAAGACTGAACTAAACCTCAGGACCATGGTCAGGCCTCAGGAAGGGTGGCTGGCTCCTGGGCTTCACCCACAACTCGGTGCTGTCATTCTCCAACCTCAGGCACTTGCCACTGCCCTCTCTGTGTCTCGTGCCTTTCTCATAGGGGTTTCCAAGTAGGGAAGGGAGGTAGGTATAGAGGTACCGAGGTGGCCTGTTCCCAGTTTCTCCAGATCTCTGGGTGAATACATAAATTAATTGCTGAACCCTATTCTAACCACTTCTTTATCAAGGCATCCTTTGTCTTCACCTACAGCCTGCTAATCACCCCCACAACCCCGTGCATCCCACACTGAAAGGGTTCGATTTTGTATTTATTAGATGTTATTTCTTTTCCTTCATGTTAGATTCCTCCCCTCTCCTGTTACTAACAACTGTCTGCTCTAATTTTGGCTGTGTTGTTGAACTTCCCTGTAACTTTCCAATTAGTGAATCAGGTTCCAGTTGCAACATTTCAATGGTAAATTGCTTCAGTCCCTCACCATCCTATCTTAGAGCACCCTAAGTCCTATACTGGCCACTGACTCCCCTCTCCTCATGGATAGCCAACAGTACTTATGTGGCAGCGTATGTGAGGTGTGTGAGTGTGCAACAGAATTCCTCAGTCCTACAGATCCCGTTCAGCGTCAGTCTCATTGATTGGTGTGTCCTAGGGGAATACCCAGACAGCACACTGGCACAAGGGATGCAATCTATAAGAAAGATTACACTTTCTTTCCAATCAGGTGACCAGGGTGTGTCTAATCAATATCCACCAGAGATCCTGTAATTCTGATGTTTGTATTCAAAGTGCCCCTTGGACTCGTAGCTTTCAATAGACTATCAGAACATAGGACAGAGGGGTAAGGGTTATCTGTGGACTAGGGTCATATTACAACAGCTCTGTCCCTGGTTGTTATAGAATTCCAAAGTGTGTTTCTGCTGAAGCCTTCCTAAATCAGAAAAAAAGGAGGCATTAAAGCCTGTAGAAGTATGTGAGGACAAATAGAGACTTAGGAAATGCTGTTTCACTCAGTAGCCACACACCACCATGAGAGGACAGTGGATCAGTAAGCACACACCACAAGAGGACTGTGGATCAGTAACCACACACCACCACAAGAGGACTGTGGATCAGTAACCACACACCACCACAAGAGGATTGTGGATCAGTAAGCACACACCATCACAAGAGGACTGTGGATCAGTAAC